GAATTTTTAACGTTTTACAATTCTGAACGTTACTTGCCAGACTTCAATCTGCTACTCAAAGAGTTGCAATTTAAATAGACACGCGCTGGAATTTCCTCGCCATAGGGCATAAAAAACAAGATGATGCCGGACTAAGTTTCTCTTTTTCCTGTCTCCTTTACATTTCTTATCGTGCAGTTCTTTTGTTTAATTGGAAGCAAATTTGATTTAGTCGGTAAGGAACTGATGCTTCACATTTCAATGGCTAAAAGGTTGGACAAAAACTGCGGTGCGCACCAAGAAGGGAATACGCAGTTTGACGGTGTTATTCCAGCCAAGATTGTAAGCACATTAACTTGACAACAGGTTGGAAGATCTCTCGAAACTGGCCCTTTCATGCGCCTTCAGATACAGATATCGGCAACCGGCAAAATTACAGACGAATGTGGCTTACTCCAACATAAATTGGGTTGTAAGCAGAAGCTAATGTTCAGAAGTTGCGCTTGTTATGTTCTCGTGGTATGCAAACTTGCAGCGAGATTTGAAATACTATTTGAAAGCGTTAGACCGCGAGCCGGCAGTGCCTGAGAAAAGGGCAACAAAGAATTGCTATGCCTGTAGTATTTTTAAGACCATCGTTTCAAGATTTGGTGTGTGAATGGTTCCAGTAAGAGTTTAATAAACTTTGCAAACATGATAAAATGCGTAGTCTTGCCAGACAGGAAGTTTCCCCCGCGGTTAAAACTGAAAGAAAACTGAGCGATCAAGACACCTGATTCGATCAGTAATCAAGAGAGGGAGATCAAAAGCACGTAGTAGAAGTGGAATTTGATAAAAGTCAATTTGTAAGAGGATAAAATAGGGCGTTTATAATAACTTCCTTTTTAAAGTGGAAATTTCTAGAAGGACCAGTGTTGTCTTTATGTTAAGATACAAGGGTTACCGTATTCATGACGACTGTTTGTTAAATTTTCATTTATTTATAGTTGGGCATTAATTAATTCTTTCCCTACTTGTATTTGGTGTGACTTAACTTTACTGACCTTTGATGATCTTAATTTCATGGGGAAAGTTTCGGTCCTTTTTCAGCAGTTAAGATTTTTGTTAACTCACCGTTTAATGACACTTAAAAGGTGGGCTAAGTCTGTGACCCCCAGGGTGAAAATTAGCAACTAGTTCAATAAAACTTTACTGTTAACTGTGTTTAGGGATTTTTAGGAGAAAAATGTTTCTGATTTCAAAATTAAAGCTGAGTAACCACATTTTAAGGCTAGTAAATCGGGTAACTTAGAATTGAGGCACATCCAACGAGGCATACAGGTATCCGTTCTATATTTAGTTAAAAGTAGGCCGCTTCAACGTAGACATACGTACGTGAGTGCATTTCAAAAACTGGTCACTTTGTGAGCCACTGAATGAAAGCAACTTAACACTTCCAGTACTAAAGGTTTATAAAACACTCAGTATCAAGCTGAACTTTTCTGAATCAAAACTGACAGAGATTTTCAGAGGAACAAACAGTCACTTACGTGGAATTTCATTTGGCCTTCGGGCATTCTTACGTCATTAGCTAGCTTGGCAATTGCACTCTAAATCAGAAAGATCTGTTTTAGCCCTAAAAACAGGGCCGTTTCGGTGAGTAAAATACAGTCCTATTTTTGGGTCTAATTTGGCTCCCTTAAATCAGGGCCAATACAGTCCAATTAGCCAGGGCTGATTTGGTCCCAGGGCTGAAATGGGCCCTAACGTGGGCTGGAATAGCCTTTTGATAGAGCTTTTTTGGCCTAAATTGTGCTCAAATGGCTCCAAGAAGGGCTGAATCAGACTTAGGCATGCAGGGCTGAATTGACACTTTGGGGCTGAAACTGATCTTTTCAATTTTCAGTGTGGTATAATTCACTCGGGTCGTTGCTTTATAAAACACTTTTAGGCAGCCAACGACTCAGTTGAAGCGGTCAAACAGGTTATACTACAACACTGTTAAACAATACCTTACAGAGAGGATTCTAGCATGGAACAAAGCCAAGAGAAGTTAGTCTGTCCGAGTCAATACGGATGGTGCGAACTTTAACATTGTTTTTTGCTCCTTGGCCGATTTGAAAAATGCAGTCTTTTTTTCTAGAGTGAGGTCTAAGAAAATTACTTCCTTTAGGGTCCTTTAAGCGTCAGTTCCATCAGAATTGTGTCGGGAATTCTCTTCAGGAATAAAAAGTTCATTGCGCTTTGGCGC